GTGTGCAGAAGTGAAAAAGAAGGTTCAAATATATTAATTTCAGCCTCAGATGGGATATAACTCTTAATTTTTCCATTTGTACTCTGGACAATATCTCATAGCTCTATAAAATTTCTTATTCTAAATGCAGGTGGGTTCTTAGAGCAATATCGAACCTGTTCATTCCCTTTAGAAATCTAGAGTAATAACTCACAGCATAGAAAAATAAAAATAAATCAGTTCTATCCCAGATATGTTACTGTTTAAAAAAAAAAAAAAAAAAAAAGAGGAAAGAGAAAAGGAAAAAAAAACCCTACAAAACACAGACTTGATGTTCCTTTCCAGAGTTATTAAAGAATGGGTTAAATATGTGGCTTTACTTCCATATGGTGCTTAACATTGGTGGTTACACATGGCATTGGAGATAAACTACAATCCCATCACTGGACGCTGCCTAAATATGCAAGAACTGGATAACAGATTCCTTCAAACGCTTTGGTTCATCTCTCTTGGGGCTTTTTTTTTTCCCACCAGCTTGCTTAAAAAAAAAAAAATTATATTAATATTTGTGGGATTACATCCATTTCAGAGAATGCACAGTAAATTGCATTGTAGAGTGCAATAAAGACATTTATCTGTATAAAGTATTTCATTCTGTACATGTTAAGATGATATTCAGTAATACAGACCTTCATAAAATATTTTCAATTTTTGCCTGGAAGAAAATCAATCATTTATTCAGAGGAGGAATTAGAATATGCATCTTTCCCTAAAAAAGTAAACACTTCAACTCTGTAGTTTCTAAAGATTGCAAATTGGGGAATGTTGTGAATTTTGTTTTGTTTTTCATTAGAAGGAGCTGATGAGATGGAGACACCAGCACTAGAAGGAAGGGAGTTGGTAGCTGAGAACTTTGAATGAGGATAAACCCCTAAGTGCTTATGGGTGGCAAAAATCAGATCCTTTTGTTCTGTTTGTTTGTTTTTTGTTTTGTTTTGACATCACTTAGTGCTGTCTAGGAGGCAGTCCATTAAATTTGCTGGTTTGAATACCTAAATTTCCTGCATTTTATGGGGAATGTGGGCACCCTATCTCAATAAGTTGATTTTTATTGCAACACAGAAATCCCGGATGGAAGTAGGCCAAGTTGTTTTTTGTACTGTAAAAACTGAGGGATTTTTTCCCTTAAAATAAAATGCCAGAATTTTTTGTGCTCATTCAGCTTCAGACAGAAACTATAAATGAACCATTTTTCCTTTGGATGTGAGAATTTGTGCTGAGTTCTGCTAGCATGTGTAACTAAAGGAATGTGAAAAGTCTAATCCCTAGTGCCATATGATATGACAGACTATAATATTTCAGTTTGCTGCCAAATCCTAATCTAATATAGGCAGACACTTTTTCTTTAGCAAAAGAGTTTCCAGTCATGTCCAAAAATATTTAACCAAAGCAGACATGGAGATTGTGATCTGTCTTGGAGAACAGAGTAGTTGGTAATCTGGATAATATTTTGTTACTCCTTTATTGCAAAAAATTAGATTCAGACTTCAGCAGTTGCTATTTAGTGATGCCTTTATTTGGGAATGTATGGTAACTAATCATACTGGACTGATAAAATTATGCTTATGCATAGCCAAAGCATTCAGAAGCACAACAGATTAGCTTTCCACTGCAATTCTGATTCCAAATCATTATAGATCAACATTATTTCACTTCCTATTGGAGCAGAATAGGACTATATGGAAATAACATGAAACCATTCTGTGAAATCACTTCATAAGGAAAAAAATGGCATATTGCCTTTCTCAGACCACCAGATTTGTCAAGTAAAACAAATGATTTTTTCTTGTTCTTCTTTTCTAATACCTCGCTCACAGAGATGATTTGTGAGTAAATCAAGACATTCTATTAACATTAGATTTTTAAAAAATTATTTATTTTTTACTCTTTTTGTTAGAGTTATGCGTAGTCAGGTGTCGTATTTAGATCCAAATTTTTAATTATTTTTTATGTTTAAGATTTCTGGAGTGGTCATGTCTAGATTTAACATATGTTGTCTGAAATGAACAGGAAAGCACCCAAAGATAATAGCTTGAGGTGGTAATTAAGTAAACAGGTAAGTTGCTTTGAATATTCTACTACGTCAGGAACATAGCAGATGAAACGGGGTTTCACTTCTTTTCTGAAACAACCTGTTCTCATTTCATTTCCATCCCCTTTGCCCCCTCTACTTTCTGCTAGAAACCACTGGTGCTCACGGGATGGCACTATGCCATAGCAGGGTGTTAGGAAACCGTGTCTGCAGGTTCCATTTTATGGCAAGGTTTATGGCATCCCTTTTTAAACTCTAGAGATTAGTTCAGAACACAGTTTCCCTGTGTCACTAATATCCCGCCTTTCAGACCTACGTCACTTGGGGACTGCAGGAGATTTCTGCTGAGCAGTTTGAGGGAATACCAGTGCATACAGGGATTGCATTGCTAACGGATTTGGAAGGATGTCTAGCCTAAGGTCCCTCCATGAAAAAAAACCTGTTATCTAAAGGTTCCTCCTAGATAAGAACTGTTTGGAATACATAGCACATGTAGGCAAGAGGGTCTCCAAGAAACACAGTTAATCAGTTAAACAGGCTTTAACATATTCCATTCATATATTCTTGGCCTACCTTCTAACCATTACATTGCTTTATTTTTATTAAATATAAAAAGATTAAAGAATTTAAAAGACATCTCTCACATCATTTGTGTCAAGACTAGCACAGAGGAAATGCATTATCAAGCCCCAGCTACCTGAGATCCACTGAGCTGCTTGAGTCATGGAATGTTAAATTAATTGGGCTGGGTGATATAAGCAATGAAAAGTGAACAAGGTCAGTCCCCACCCTGCCAAAGAAATGAAAAAAAAAAAGCTTCCTGTCATGGAGCTGCTGTGCAGCTTTGCAGAGAGGAGAGCTGCTTTCTGGAAGAGGAAACAACCTTTGCAGCTGTGAAACCTGAGAGAACAATGGAGATTGTGTACACCAGCAGTTGAGGGGAGCTGCTTTCGGCTCTCCAGGGCTCAATGCCAGACTGGTCCCTCAACAGCAATCTTTTTTCTGTAATAAATTCTAAACTTCTTTTGGCCTTATTGCCACACTCTGAGCTGAAGTGAATCTGAACAATTGATAGAAGGCACCCCCTGTCTTAAAAGCTGTTGGCGTGTACTGAACTCCAACAGATCTGTTCTGGATGATGTAGGAGAGGTATGAAAAGTATGCTCCCACCCTATAGAAGTCTTCTAATGCAAAAATTGGTTCATTTCTGATTACTGAAATATCTAAAGGAATATGGATTACTAACTTAGAACAATTATAACAATTGGTGTATATTGTTAAAATTACAATCTATCTAGAAAAGTGATCTTTATAATTAGTGTAGCTTTTTTGCTTGATATTTTCCTTTTGCTGGTCTGTACACCCTAAGGAGTGACACAGCAAGGAGCAGAAAGCTTAAATGTGCTCACTGTCATCAGAATGGGAAGTTTTGTCTATTAGATGATGCCTGAGCTCTCCTATCTCGACCTAATTCTAACTGAATCAGTCTCATAATACTCTTCACTTTTAATTGGAGAGTATTCCTCTTCACATTCTGTTGTGCTTTCTCATCTGCTGCTATACCTTTTCATAAAGAGGGCTGCATTTTCACTGTAAGTGAAGCAGTATTTGAGTGTTTATTGCTCCCCAGGCTAGAAAATGTCTCATAGAAGTTCCATGGCATTGTTTACAGATACATAATGGGGTATGCTGTGTGGTTTTTTTTAAACTAACATCTCTGTTGGTCTGAAAATCAGTGTACCAAACACAATGATTTTAGTGATGAATAATAGTTAGAGTCTGACTACATTATTTTGCCTGACAATCTTTTTTTAAATAAATATGTAAATTTATAAATTTATAGTTTTCTCAGCAGTCCATTAGCCTGATTCTTCTTTACTTACCTTTTCAACACATGGGAATATTTGTGTAATGAGGCATTAATTAATATAAGTTGGGAGTAACACAAAAAGCTCCTGTGTTTTTTTCTAAGTACATAATAAGGTTATAGGCTCCAACACTGTGAAACTTGGACCTAATGGAGCTAAACAAAAGTTTGTTTGTTTGGTTGAAATTTTTAAAGGTTATCCCAAATACAGAATGATGATGAAAGATAAAGACAGCAATGATAAAAGTTTATGCCTGAAAATGATCGTAGAAGGAAAAGAAAAAAAAAGAAATGTAATGATTAATATTGTTTTTAGAATCATTACAAAGGCTATTTCATGGTTAATGCGTGCTTGTAGTCACTGTGGCTCTGATCCCCATGCAAACAAGACAAAAAGCATTTTCCTCTTGTTTGTAGACTGAGTTTAAACTAAAACCTAAACTTCTTATGCTTGTCTTAGCATTTTGAAAAGGAGCAAAGGAACTGTTTAAAACAAAGAGAAAATATTCTTCTAGACTTTACTTAGACTGCAAACTTCACTTTTTTTTCTGTCTTTGCTCTTTGGAAATATTTTCCTCTTCACTCCTTCCAACTTGCCACATTAGTGGTTCTCAAAGCCGTGACTGATAACGTGCAGGTAGCTCTTGCTTACCCTACACAGGCTCTTCTGTACATTGCAGTAGTACATACCATAATAACTCTGTGGAGAAAGAGCAAAGCTGTTTTAACATGCCTGAGTCCATTCCCTTCCAGAAATCTTATGATTGCTGTTACACGCTTGAAAGAGTTCTTTGTTAGGCCAAGCTATACAGATGCATGGTTTAGCTGCAAAACACACTGACATCTCATCCCAAAACATTCATCTATTGGTCATGGTGTTTATATAGGTAGACAGCTGTAATGCGTTTGTGGATGTCAGTAAGTTGTAGCAAACTAATTCTGTTATGGTCTGTTACGCATTAGAGCTAAAATAGAAACAGCAGTGTCAGAATACCTGCTTAATCTTTGGGGGGTTTACTCTTTTTTTTTTTTTTTTTTTTTTTTTTTGATTTTTTTTTTAAGGTAAAAATGATTTGCAAACTATAGTGGAACTGCTAAGTCACAGCCTAAAGCAGTGATTGAGTACCTGGTGGGAAGGCAGGGCCAACCCAGGGCAGCTCAGGTGCATGCAGTGTATCTGAGTGAGCAGAAGGGCTGGAGCCAGGATACACCACTTCCCAGACCTCATTTAAGGTAAGTAGGTGTGTGTGTGTCCTTTGGTTTTGTGTTTATGGCTGTATTTGAGTATGTTCTCACTTGCTGCAGCCTAGGACTTTGTAATTCTACTGTCATTGCTGTATTTTCCATTGTGTTACAGCATTATATGAACATAAAGTGAAACCTTAAAAATTGTAATGTTAGATTGAAACAACTCTGAAGGGTACTTTTTTGTTCAGTGTCATTTTGAAGCATTTTTTTCAATTTAAGGTCCTTGATTTTATTCCAGGTTCTGTGGAGTCTACTTACCACAGACTCTTATTCTCTACTTCATTATAAAACCTCCTTTATCTGTGTACTTATTATGGCTGTTGTTCTTTTAAGTTCATGGCTATGCTGACAATCTTGTCATGTGAACGTTCCTACAAAGACTTTTTTCATACTACCTGCAGGAGTTTACATGCGTTTATCTTGTAAGAGTGGGAACAAAATTATTGCCTCATCCTTAAGAATTAAAATCATTAGGATTTTCTATTTCTTACTGAATGAGACATATGATTCTAGTTTATGGTTTTTCTATGCATTGTCAGACCCAATGTATTTCTACAGTACAGCAAAATATTATTGTTTTTTGTATCATGTAATAGTGAACTTTCATAGTAAGTAGCCTGTAAGTATTAGATGAATATTCAAGGATTTTTTTATTTGTGTTTTAAATTGCATACCAGGAGGGGATTGTATGTTTTTTTTTTTACATATATGTTTGTGTCTGTAGTCTTGAATTGGAGCCAAGACTGTGTGAAAATATTACTTGTGTGGAAGCTCTGAATGTTCTTTTTCACACTTATCATTATGCAAGCATTTTCCCTCCTTACTATCTACTACCCTGCCATTCTATTTCCTTTAAGTGATGTTATTTCTGGCTCATACTGGAAAATATTCCATCTCCTTTCAACTACCTAGACTCATTTTAAATTAAGTAGTTGCTATCCTTATCTGATGAATGATGTAGTACTTTAACCAATACTGTTAAGGATTGGGAAGATCTGTAGATCAGCTGCTTGAAAATAATAAGGCTTCCAACATTGGTGCAAGCATTTCAAGTGTAAATTTTCTAAGTGGGCTCTTTAAGACTATTTGATGTTTAGTTGCTCCAAAAAACTTTACGCAATTGGCTGTAAGACTCTTTGCTGGTGCCTGTATTCGTACCACAACAACACAAGAGGAATGGAATTATCATTTCTTAATGATGAAATAATCTCTATTTTTCCTGGCTGGATTATATTTAAAATCTAGATTTATTTATTTATTTATTTATTTATTTTGACAAAAAAGGGAGATGAAGCTAAGGCCAGTGATAAATTTAGTCATGAAGAAGTTGAAGTGTGGAGTAAATGGTGTTCTACATCAACTATGTGCCATTTCTATGTAGGATGTGAACATGACAATGTTAGGGAAAATTCTGCCATAATTTACTTGATTTTATATTAAAAAACAAAACAAAACAGGATGATGCTGGGTTACTCATGCAAGACAGGCATTATTTTGCAGGTTTGTGTGCTTTTCACACTAATTCAAAGCACTTGGAGGCAAGTGCCTGTATTAGGAGAATTCCTAGAATTGCTCATGATTATTTCAAGAAAAAACTTTCCTACCACCCAGAGGGCAACTTAGGGCAGGAATTCAGCACAAATGACTGAATAACTCTCCTGAAGAGGCCCTTTTTCCTTACTTGTACACAGGAAACAGATGGCAACTAGCTGCCTAATTTATTGCATAAAAAAGCAAAAACGAGAGTTGTATTTGCCACGAATAAAAATCAAATCAGGGAGCAGATAGGAGATTGTCATAGGCCAAATGCAAAATTAAGTACTTAATGCTAAAACTAAAATTCTGAAAATGTCTGCTAATGTGCTATCTAGATTTTAGGCTTTCTAGCTTTTTCAGCTGTGCCAAGACATATCTGGAGATGCTTCTGATTTGGTGATTCTGGATAGGCAGTGTGTGTGTGTCATATCTCAGTGTAATCATGGTACAGAAACTATGTGTTTTCTTTCTTATGACACATACTTTTCCTCTATTTCTTGTTTATATATTATTAAAGATTTTAATTGTTAAAGCAGTGTTTAGGAGGCCCATTCAGGGGTGAGAGTTAATATAAAAAATGGAGGAAATTTTAAGCTTTTTACAGTTAGAGATTAACACTCTGATTGTGATGGATGCTACACAGTAACAGAAAAAGAAAAATTGTATAATTGCTTCAGGCAAAAACTATTTAAGAAGATTGTAAAGATTTTAAACCTGTTTTAATTCAAAGCAGGAGAAAAACTGTGGTTGGGCTGCATGAAATGGGGAATTGGTAGAGCAAGCACCAGGAAATCTAGCTGATTCCATCAGTGCAGCACAGTTTTGAAGCTTCTGGTGAAACTAAGTAAAACCAAGATAATACTATAGCTATATACTATATATAGTTTTTTGTGTTGACTCTTTTTTTTTCTTTTTTGCTTTAGTTCTAAGAAACAAATGGAAGAAATGTTAACAAAACCAATATGGGTTGTATTAATCAGTGGCAAAGGAAGAGGTAAGTTGAAACCAACATCTTGCTATTTCTCTATGTTAATAAATGTTCAACAACTAAAGAAATCCAGACAGGACAGGTTTGAATGAGTGTCTATAGAGAGTACATCAATAGATGTGTATTCAACAGTGCTGTTGTAAGACTGGCCAGTAATCACAGCCTACATTAATTCCAGAAAGTACACACAAATAATATTTCTTGGCTCCATTTTGAAAGCAGCATTTGGAAAGTTATTTGCACTAATCCTGTAACAATAACAGGATTTGTGTTTCCAACGTAAGCGTAGCTTTGAAAATGTAACTGTGTCTAATGCAATAGTCATAGAAATCCCAGACCTCTTGACCTCTGTGAAAAGGGAGAAATTTTGCCAAAATATTTGCCTCTAAACTAGAAAAAATGTCCTGTACCCTTTAGTATCCTCACCTCAGCAGTCTCTTTTTTCCTAGAGGGATGTAATATAATTAAAAAAAAATGAAGGAGGAGGAAGAGATATCAAAAGAACCCAAATCTCCTCCTTGTGTGTCTTAAAATCCCAAGCTTCTCTGCCAAAGATGTTATAATGCCTGTGATGAAGAATGGTGACTTTAAGTGCTGAGTGATTTAAAATGATACCATAAAACTATAGAAGGGCTTAGGTTGGAGGGGACCTTGAAGATGATCGAGCTCCAGCCCTCTGCCATGGGCGGGGTTGCAACCATTAATCAGGCTTCCCTGGATCCCATGCAACCTGGCTTTGAGCTCCTCCAGGGGCACCCATGGACTCTGTGGGCAACCTGTGCCAGTGCCTCACCACCTTTTGAATAAAAAAATTCTGCCTAATATCTAAGCTAAGTCTCCTTCCTCTTTTAGTTTAAAGCCATTCCCCCTTGTCCTATCACTATCTGACTGTGTAAAAAGTTGATCTCCCTCCTGCTTGTAAGCTCCCTTCAGGTACTGCAAAGCCACAGTGAGGTCTCCTCAGACCCTTTTCTTCTTTAAGCTAAACAAGCCCAGCTCTCTCAACCTTTCCTCATAGGAATCCTCACAGTAATCTTTGTGACTCTTCTCTGGACCTGCTCCAACAACACTGAATCCTTTCTGTACTGGGGGCCCTGTGCTTGGATGCACTACTCCAGAGGAGACCTCCAGAGGGCAGAGTAGAAGGGGGCAATCTGTTCCCTCTCCCTGCTGGCCACCCCTCTTTTGATGCATCCCGGATACTGTTGGCCTTCCAAGATACAAGTACACACCGCTGGCTCATGTCCAGCTTTTCATCCATCAGGACCTCTAAGTCTTTTGCTGCAGGGCTGCTCTCAGTAAGTAAGTATGCTGTTGTACTCTCCTCTTGCCTGACAATGCATAGTGTTATCTATTCTACTTCAGTTCCTGCTCCCTTCAGTCTGAGGAGAAGGACATATGGAATTGGATTTCTTTTTCTCTTCTACCTAGAAAGATTTGTGTATAAGCCTTACATATGTTTGTGTATAGAACAAGAAGTTATGTGAAATTCAGTGATTTATGCAGGAAAGTAGGAAGTAAAATCTGAATAATTTCAGCCTATGTTTTTCTGTTCAGAATTCTTGTTGACTTTAGAGGAATGCGAGATTAGTCTATTTTCAGAATAGAATACAATTCTCCACATTAAGTATCTGCCGGAATGATTGGATACTGGACTTTTGCATCATACTAGATGTTGTCATTTTCCTATGATATTGGTTTCTAGTCTTGTGTTTTGCGACAGGGATGTTGGTTATGATTATGTGACATATTTTAAAGGACATGTTTAATAACTTGTTTAATAACTCTGCTCAGAATAGCAGTATCTGAAGATTGCTGCCATGTATGGCACCCTTGTTGTGAGTCTGAATAAAACTGATTTTTTACTTCACAGACACAAAGTATTATCAGCATTGTAAAAAAAAAAAAAAAAAAAAAAAAAACTGCTTGCAAGCCAAGAACATAACCTAGTTAAGAAATACAATAAAGGATATTAAATAACCTTTCAGATATTTCTCCTTACCTCTCAGTTAAAAGGGAAATAATTTTCAAGACAGTAGGGTTTTACAGAGGAAGAAATATTACACACTAGTGAGGCTTCCAAAAGTGATGAAACTGCTTAAAAGGACCAGAAGGTGGCAGTACTCCATGCGTCGCTGAATTCCTAGCGCCCTCTGAGCTATCCAGTGTTCATTCTGAAGTGCTTGACATCTACTTATCATCAGATATATCCAAGGGAACTGTGCCCTTAAAATAATAACTTCCCTTTGTGGCTACGTTTGCTTTTCATGTATTTCGTGGAAGTGCACAATATGTAAAATAAAGTATTTCAAGAGGTCTGAAAAATGTGCTTGACCAATTCCCTTTCTACTCACAGGC